GTTGAAGGAACAAATCGATGGGTTTGTGGGTGGGCTATTAATAGATCTGTTATTCAGGAAATTTGAGGAAAGGAGTGTGTTCAAAACAGCTAATGGGAGTGGATTATGTAGCTACTGCTTCGTTTCCAACATTGGGGAATGGAAAGCTTCACTTTAGAAAGACCATCAATGCTCACCTCAAAATTCCTTACTTTTTGACCTGTGAGGCTGTAATGGTAACAAATCTACACTAAATTTCCCACACTTTTCTAAGTATACTTCTTAAACTAACCTTCAAATACATGATTACATTAGCCCTTATAATATCCCCTATGGCAAAAAGGGTAACATTTTATCAGTCCGGCACAGCAAAAGTTAAAACAGAAGATCCCATTTGCCGCAGTCATACAAAAATCCTAATTTACACAGCAGTGACTCTTCAATAAAAGGTAATTAAGAGAGATTGTGCTTTTAAATCCTCAAGAGAAAAACTTGTTACACTACAGTGCTTTATGCAGATTTGTAAAGGTAGGAAAGGAATCTGGAATAACAGCAGTATGTGTGTTAAAAGAGGCCCAGGAGAAAGACAAACACTCTGCAGCATTATTGTTACACGAGATGCAGGAAGATGCAGGTACCAGAACGAGGCATACCAAGTTTTTTCACTGGTGTGCTTGGCATAATCATCTACTGAATATACCAATGGAGAAGCCTCTCCTCTTTGTTTATCATTCAGTTTGTGTTAAAGATTTTTTTCTTACACAAAGACAATCAAAACAATCCAATCCAATAGAGAACCATATGATGAAACCATGCATCTTACAAAGTTCTGTTAAAGGCTTAAGATCTGAGGACGATGGAGTTTCAAAAGCGTTGATCATAGAAAGTAAACCAATAACCATGACCACAGAGTTATGGGTTAATTTCACTCGTGTGCACAGCAAAGAGGCGGATTGGAGGAAGGGAGAAGGTAGGTGAAAGAGGGGGGGGGTGAGAATTTAGGATTGGGTAGGGTACGGGGGAAGGTATTCGAGATAGGAGAGTGCTTACAAAGGCATCAAAGTTCCATTAACAAATATATTATCCAGATAGATGCGGGTTTATTGGACATGGGTGCAGCCGAAGGTAACACTTAACGGTAGCGGTTATACCTTAGAATGTTACAGATTCTAGATTTGGGGATACTGTTAATATACAATCTGCATATAGATTGGTGATTCCTTACACTTGAGCAAAGGTTGCCATGTTGCTTCAAATTTAATGGAGCGATCATATAATGATCGAGTCAATTCTTCCATTAATCTGATATGGTCCAGGTGGAGAAACCATTCTTTGATTGAGGGAAGTACTGGAGAATTACAGTGTTTTGGAATGAGGGATTTCGCTGCGTTAAGCATATGCAGAATCAGAGATTGATGATAGCGATGTATCGGTTTTGTGGAGCAGTGCATCAGGCAAACCAGTGTGTCAAGTTGGATAGGTATATTCATAATACATGAGATGAAATTAACAACTTGAGACCAGAAAGACTCTAATTTAGGGCATGTCCACCGTATATGGGAATTGGTTGCTTTGGCACCACATTGCCTCCAGCACGTGTGCGGTCTAGAGGGGTGTATAGAGTGAAGGTGTACTCCTTATGTATGTTAGTGTTTTTCATATAAATATATAGAAACAGGTTCCAGCTGATGGTTTCTCCAATGCAGAGCACATAGCTGACTTGTAGTATGACTTAGGACCGTGGCTCCCAATATTACAACAACCAACCCTTTAAAAGGTTCACCATGTAACCCCTGATATATGTCCCCTACAGTGTAAACTTTTGTTGACAGTGACTCCCAAATGTGTGCAAAGGCTTGCAAATAACCCCTCACATATAAAGGACAATTGTATTTTTGGTGCAAGCTGTGAATTAAGGCATGGCCCTACCTCCCTGAGTGCAGCCCAACTAGCGGGAGGGTGAAGATTTGCTTTAAATCTCTGATTTTCGTTATGTGGGTTTAAGAGGAGGCAGTGGGGCTTAGTTAGGAAAACTGGCAGCAGCTATTTTCCACGGTAGAAGATATGCATCTGTCCAACCCACCCTCCTGAGATTAGCTGGCACTGCCTCAGTTAGTTGCCACAAGTGTGACGTTGGGAGGAGAGCTACACAATTAGCATTTTCAAAGGTTTTGCTTTTGATATTTTACTTTTTTCCTTGCATTTAGGTTTGGTTTGGGCACTTTGGGCCTAGGCAGGCTCCTAACAATGCCAGCTGTGCACAACAATAAAGACTTGGAAAGATGAAAGAGGAGTTTATAAGGAGTGGTTTGGAAAGTCATGGGGGGGCAATATCCCCTTCATGGCCATTGGTCGTTATGGGCGAACCCACTAGGCCAAAAAAATATAAGGGGCCAGTAGCAAATACTCTGTTATTGAGTCTACAGCTTAAAAGACATTCTCGAGGGCCTGGTAAGTATTTGTCAAGTTCCCTGTTTTTTGCGCTTATTCTTATTGCAGATATTATTATAACATGGTAATTATATATTGAAATGTCATCTATTTATGCGATTTATCTGTTCTGTTGTTTCAAAAACCATCTACATGCTGTGACCTTTTCTTATTCAGTTTAAAAAAAAAGAAAATATATTTTTTAAATAGTTTGCAGCATTCAGTATTTCATATTTAGTGTAGTGTGGGATGTCTTTTGACCTACCCCAGGTCATGTATTTCCACATTTGACATGGGGCAATGGGAGTGTTGGGGTTTTGTACTACAAGAGGACTTGTACTTTAAATGAGCCTTTAATGAGGATCTATACATTTTAAACAAATGCAAATCAGACAGTAGGCTTTCCCTTAAAATATAAATGAAGTTCTCAAAATCTCCGAGCAATAATGTCACTGCACTATAACAGCGAGAGAACAGGGAAATAATAAATAACAGGCAGAGAAAAGTAGGTCTTGGCAGATGAACAAGTCAGATGAGGTTTAAAGATGACATTTTGATGAGAGGCAGTTGATATGCATACACAGTGCTGTAATATCATTACCTAATTAATATCAAATTATGCTTCTAAACTCTCTAACATTTTCTTCCAGCGTTTCAAACATCATGAGTGATGGGAGCAAGCTACAAATGAGTTTCCACTACACATTAATAATGTAAAGACAAAGGAGAGCAATGTAATATAAGTTTTTACTTTGTGATAGAGATTGCAAAGGCATGCACAGAGTAACAGGCAAAGGCTTAAAAGTTATTTGGTCCTGACTTCATTCCAAGTGTTGTCATAGGGCACCGATAAACCTCAAAATTATTAGCACTATAGGTTTCTATCAATGTTCTTTATTGAAAAAAAAAAAGCATGTGTAAATATAAAACTTTCCTAAATGGCTAAAGGTATATTGATACCTTCTCCAAATGACCGAGGTTGGGTGTTTCCAGTGCAGGTTAATGTTAATGCTACAGTATGCAAAGATATTTTGGCCAATTGTGCTCTACCTACCTTGTGGCAACACTGTGGGGAAAGCTAAAGGCCCAAGTAGAAATGCTGCCTGTAGCTTGCCAATTCTTTCAACCAAAGAATCTGGGGCTTTTCTTAGTATACACACTGGCAGGAAATGTTCAGCATTCATAAGCAGGACTGAGGATGAGAGACTTTGATTTCATAAAGCCAACCATTATTTAGGTTCATATATCAGGTTATCAAATCAGAAAAAGATGAATTTTGTTTGGTTGTTTGACTTTGCATAACATCTCTGCTCTTTGTTAATTAATATGGACCAGTACTAACTCTGCAGGTCCTTCAATAATTTAAGTGTGGCAGGAAAAAGAAGGCACGTTTAGTTGCCTTCCAGAATGCAATGGAATCTCCAAAATATTAGATACTCAATTGTGCAAGTACCAAATTTAGTTCATGATGTTGAGCTCTATGTCTCCCTCTCCAGCACCTCACTATTGGTCCATAAACGTGATAGATGAACCCTCTGACCAACAGGAGGTGGTGAAGTTGATATTCATAGAGTTGAAAAATATATACAGCTATTTTTTTAGAATGAGTTTGTTAAAATTGTTAAAACCCCTGTCAATTTTTTTTCTGCACCCTATTGTGGACATTTGCCTTCAATTCCTGTCCGTTGGACATGGCAAGAAGTGAGGGAAATTCTCTCTTAGTTGTCACATACACAAGTGTCTCCATTGGAAGATATCCCCAATATTCTCCATCTCTTGCTCTGGTGGTAAACTTTTCAGTTTTCCCCCATTTTCTCACCTACTGACAATAGTCATTGGGAGAAATAGGGAGAGTAATTCTACTTAAACACAAGGCCGCCACCCCTCACCACCCTATATATATAAGAAAAAAAAGTTTTTGCTCTTTAGTTACACTTTCTGTGCCTTGTTTTTAACGGCTATCGGTGTGCTATGGATTGCAGCTCAATATACAAACAAGCACCTCTAGGCCCTGACATTGTACTTCTGCTCTCAGGCTATAATCTTACTACAGGTACACTTTAAATAAGCTAGTGTTTCTTCTAGGTGTTTTTCAGCCATCCACCATGTTAATGCCTTCCCTTCTCTGCATTTCCCATGCTGTTTTCTTCACAACCAGAATTGATGACTGATGAATGCAGAGTACAGCACACACACTGCAGGCGCAGCCTGCTGCCAAGCTTAAAAGGAGCACTTAGATTTCTGCCCATCCACCAAAACCATAAAGCCTCTGAATTGGGAGCTGTTACCTGTCAGATAAATACAGTTAATAAAACAAATGACCGAGCTGCAAGGGCTGCAGAACGGCTGTGGATATCCATTTAATTCTCCACGGCTCCAGTAAATCAGAGAATTTAATTTAAACAACACCTAGGAACTCTCAGGATCTGCTGGGTTTAATTATCATGCAGGGCTCCAGTAATAGCATCAATTTTTTTTATTCATTGCTTGGTGTTCGGGGGAAGCTGGTGGCACAGAAAGGAAGATTCATGCTGTGTATATTAAAGCTGGCTCCCGAGTATGTGTTAGGTGACGGCGTGGCCATGACTTACCAAGGGGAGGTCCGTGAGTCATTAGGATGTCGATGCCCTCTGGGATAAGGTTCCACTTGTCAAGTAAAGATTGGCCTCTGGGAAGATTAAATCCCCATCCGTTAAACCATGGTGTCCTAGAGGAAAGAAAAGCGTTTTATCAGCATTGTGCCATTCTACTATCATTTGTCATCTTACCGCGACGTTGCCATAGACAGCAATGCAGAATAGTTTTGTTCTAATCAGAGGTTGTAAATATAACACTTTTAGGGTTTTTTCTAAGGGTTAGCTGTATGGACTGGGATGTGTGTTATACTCATTATTAAACATTTGTTTACACCAATCACTGGTCTCAAATCCTGCTAGCAATTCCACTGACAACAATGCATTATAATATTCATAGACAGAAGGGGGAGGCTGCAAAACAGACGCGGTGGGCTATGGATAGACGTGATTTGCAGAGACGGTGAGCTGCACTAGGATTATATGCAGCCTGTTCACTCTGTTTATAGCACTGTTCATTTTACCTAAAACAATCTTAATTATATTTACACATTTTACTTGCTTGCCGTGCCTTATTTCCATAGCCATATTTCCCCCATACAGAATTTTAGGTTCTCCCTTTGTTTTGTAAATCCCACTGTGCAATTAGCAATCTTGCTGAATAATAATAATAATATAAGAAAAAAAAAATCACAAACTAAGACAACTGGAAAGCACAAATGTAGAGAATTAAGGTGCCCATACACTGGCCGAATTTCAGCCGGTTTTTAATGTACCGGTGGAAATTCGGCCAGTGTATGGGGCTGTCGGCTCCCTTTCAGCCAGCATTCCTCGATCAGCTGATTGAAGAAGTCGGCGGGAAAATCTTTGTACGATCAGAGCCGGCAGCCAATGAGCTGCCCGCTCGGATCGGGTATTCTGACAGGTGCCACCGGCACCTGTCAGAATACAATGCGGTTTGTGTTGATGGGAGGAATTGCGTCAATTTCTTCCTTTCAGCCTGCGGGTTGAACTAAAGAAATTGACAGGTGTATGGCCAGGCTTAGTGTGTCCGACCATAAACATAATTATTCAGGTTTATACTGCCTTGCCAAACAACAGGTTCAGTTTATTAAAGGAGAACTATGAGGTGAGTCCTTTTCACTCACCTCATAGTTCTAGCCGACCTTTGACAATGAGACTGTCACAGGTCGGCTCAGTAGATCGGGAGGGGAGCGAACACATGCCGGTGTTCGCTCACTTCTCGATCCTGTCACGGCTCTCTGCCGTGACAGGGGAGGGGATGGATTCCCCCCTCCCTGCTCCGCCAGTGCTGACTGGCGGAACGGACAGGGAAGGGGGCGGGTACAGCTGCCTCTGCCTCTAGATAGGCAGAACCAGCTGTCACTCACGCAGCTGGGCGGATCTCAACATTGATGTCTCAGTATATCAGTATACATCTCAGTATACCGCTAGCTGTAGCTCGCGGTATACTGAGCTTAGGGTGACGGGAGGACGCTAGTTTGTGTCCTCCCGTTACCCTAAGGAGAACTATGGGGAAAAGCCCTGACCCCATAGTTCTCCTTTAATAGTGGGGTAGGTATAAAAAACATTTCTTTATGCACCAGTGCCCAATTATGCATCCAGTTTATTGCATAGAAAAAAATATATAGGTTTGTCCGACTTGTATGCAGGTGTTAAGGCTTCAAAGGCCCATCAGTGCAATATATGGACATCATTGCCTCTAAGGTGAAGGACTTGTATTGAAATCTGAATTGGAAAATTACATATTACATACAATATATATATATCTATATCTATCTATCTATCTATCTATCTTTTTACTTGCTTAAAAGTCTTATGTATCCCTACTATATAGAGTTAAGGAGAGGGCTATAGGAAGTTACGTTTATGATTTGAACACTTTTTTTTTTTTAACAAAGGGTTAAAGTCTTACAAGCATTGTATGTTAAAGAGAGAAAGGTCAGTCTGTCCCTCAGTTTGAACCCCCTACTTGCACTTTTACACTGCTCAGAGTAGCCTGGAATCTGCACAAAGGCCTTCAGCAAAAGGCAGCTAAAAAGGTAAGAAATATGTATTTATTCAATATTTTCTGGTATGCTGTGTAAATGGGACCCTGTAACAAACATAGAGGGGTTTCCTCAAATTTGACTGGAAATACATTTCAAGAAAATACAGATAGACAGAGTGGGCTGTGCAAAATACAGTTTACTCTTAGGCTAGGATTTGTCACGGCTGCTTAACTGTGGTGCTATTTGTAATTTGACAAGGGTGGAAGAATGTGAGGGGACAATTCCTCTTCTCATCCTTAACATGCATAAACTAGGAAAGTTTTCAGTCCTCTATGCTGACTTACAGAAGCACATAACATAACTTTAGTAGGAACAAACCAACTGTAACACAAAAATTATGGTATTACCTGGGACAGTTCTAGGACCCTTTTCTTAATATGTAATCCACAACAGCAGATAAAACAATAATATTAAAGTACAATTAAAGTCTCTTATTTTTCGGCATATATGCCCCATGATTACAAAAACATAAATTTAGGCAAATACCTAATTACTTACCTGTTCCAGCGCCGCTTGCTCCCAGGTGAAGCACTCCTGCCTCCCGAACGGCTGTGAAGAAGTGTGCAGGCGCATGCACAGTAGAGGGGAGGGGAAAAAACAGACACTGAAACTCAATAGACGCAGTCAGGCAGCAGAAAGCGTCCATATCGGACAGACACTACGGTGGATCAGAGACTGACACCAGCGCTGAAGGGACTGTCGGAAACGAGTGAAAGGAAGAAGATGATAGCAGCAAGAGGTATCAAATAAGGTACGTGCTTACAGCAGCATTGGGGGTTACCTTAAATGTCACTTTAATTTACAATTTGTTTTTCACTTTTGGGTAAAGTGGGGCATTCACAAAAATGTTTCAGCCTGCAAGAATGTTACATTATTTTCTCCTACCTACCACCGACCACCTAACACTCACCTCATAGTTCTAGCCGACCTTTGACAATGAGACTGTCACAGGTCGGCTCAGTAGATCGGGAGGGGAGCGAACACATGCCGGTGTTCGCTCACTTCTCGATCCTGTCACGGCTCTCTGCCGTGACAGGGGAGGGGATGGATTCCCCCCTCCCTGCTCCGCCAGTGCTGACTGGCGGAACGGACAGGGAAGGGGGCGGGTACAGCTGCCTCTGCCTCTAGATAGGCAGAACCAGCTGTCACTCACGCAGCTGGGCGGATCTCAACATTGATGTCTCAGTATATCAGTATACATCTCAGTATACCGCTAGCTGTAGCTCGCGGTATACTGAGCTTAGGGTGACGGGAGGACGCTAGTTTGTGTCCTCCCGTTACCCTAAGGAGAACTATGGGGAAAAGCCCTGACCCCATAGTTCTCCTTTAATAGTGGGGTAGGTATAAAAAACATTTCTTTATGCACCAGTGCCCAATTATGCATCCAGTTTATTGCATAGAAAAAAATATATAGGTTTGTCCGACTTGTATGCAGGTGTTAAGGCTTCAAAGGCCCATCAGTGCAATATATGGACATCATTGCCTCTAAGGTGAAGGACTTGTATTGAAATCTGAATTGGAAAATTACATATTACATACAATATATATATCTATATCTATCTATCTATCTATCTATCTTTTTACTTGCTTAAAAGTCTTATGTATCCCTACTATATAGAGTTAAGGAGAGGGCTATAGGAAGTTACGTTTATGATTTGAACACTTTTTTTTTTTTAACAAAGGGTTAAAGTCTTACAAGCATTGTATGTTAAAGAGAGAAAGGTCAGTCTGTCCCTCAGTTTGAACCCCCTACTTGCACTTTTACACTGCTCAGAGTAGCCTGGAATCTGCACAAAGGCCTTCAGCAAAAGGCAGCTAAAAAGGTAAGAAATATGTATTTATTCAATATTTTCTGGTATGCTGTGTAAATGGGACCCTGTAACAAACATAGAGGGGTTTCCTCAAATTTGACTGGAAATACATTTCAAGAAAATACAGATAGACAGAGTGGGCTGTGCAAAATACAGTTTACTCTTAGGCTAGGATTTGTCACGGCTGCTTAACTGTGGTGCTATTTGTAATTTGACAAGGGTGGAAGAATGTGAGGGGACAATTCCTCTTCTCATCCTTAACATGCATAAACTAGGAAAGTTTTCAGTCCTCTATGCTGACTTACAGAAGCACATAACATAACTTTAGTAGGAACAAACCAACTGTAACACAAAAATTATGGTATTACCTGGGACAGTTCTAGGACCCTTTTCTTAATATGTAATCCACAACAGCAGATAAAACAATAATATTAAAGTACAATTAAAGTCTCTTATTTTTCGGCATATATGCCCCATGATTACAAAAACATAAATTTAGGCAAATACCTAATTACTTACCTGTTCCAGCGCCGCTTGCTCCCAGGTGAAGCACTCCTGCCTCCCGAACGGCTGTGAAGAAGTGTGCAGGCGCATGCACAGTAGAGGGGAGGGGAAAAAACAGACACTGAAACTCAATAGACGCAGTCAGGCAGCAGAAAGCGTCCATATCGGACAGACACTACGGTGGATCAGAGACTGACACCAGCGCTGAAGGGACTGTCGGAAACGAGTGAAAGGAAGAAGATGATAGCAGCAAGAGGTATCAAATAAGGTACGTGCTTACAGCAGCATTGGGGGTTACCTTAAATGTCACTTTAATTTACAATTTGTTTTTCACTTTTGGGTAAAGTGGGGCATTCACAAAAATGTTTCAGCCTGCAAGAATGTTACATTATTTTCTCCTACCTACCACCGACCACCTATGTAAGAGGACACTTCTCCACCGACCGCCAATGTAAGGAGACACTTCTCCACCGACCGCCAATGTAAGGAGACACTTCTCCACCGACCGCCAATGTAAGGAGACACTTCTCCACCGACCGCCAATGTAAGGAGACACTTCTTTACTGACCACAAATGTAAGGGGACACTTCTCCACCGACCGCCACTGTAAGGAGACACTTCTCCACTGGCCACCAATGTAAGTTGACACTTCACTATCCGCCAATGTAAGTTGACACATCACTGTCCACCAATGTAAGGGAACAATTTACCACTGGCAAGGAAATAAATGGACTTTGCATTGTCATA